GAGAGACCCATAGAAAATGCTTCCCGTTCAAAAATGAATTCACTTCTCGGTGATGTTTCTTGTGGTACCTTGGACATTATCACTCTCTGCATGGAGGCTCGCTTGTTGCTAGTACCGGTAGTACTAGTAGCCACCGATGGCATAATTAAAATCAAGGTCATGCGCATGCACATGTAATATTAAAAATAGTGCAGACAGATACACGAAGGCATACATGTATGGTCGATGGTGACGCTAGGTCCGTCCCACTTTAACCAACTCGACTAAATCAGTCCTGTTCTTGGACGGAATTTTTAACTGCCGACAAAGTCACCGACACCTCCAGCCAGAATACCACGTTGAGAACGTTTTTGCGGGCATTTTACTCTCACCATTCTAAACCTTCTTTATCTTTTATTCTAGCCCGTTTAGAACAGAAAATACCAAATTGCAATGCTTATGGTGGTTCTGGTGAACTGGAGATCAGCGATCAACATGATTGTACCAGGACCACTAATAGTACTTGTCAATGTGTCCGTCTAACAAGAATGCAAATGTTTGAATTCATTCTGAGGTTGATTCTTCGGTCAACTCTTGGCTCTTTCAACACAGAACAGCTGGTACTTTTCGTCATCAACCAGTGGAGTCTGAAGCTGTCGGTTATCCACACATGGTGTTCGGAAGGTCACTGATAGGCGAATGGCCACCTAAGAGCCCCTCTGAGCACTGTCTGAAGACAGAAGTCTCATCTTTGATCACACTGCACTGCTACTGCATGTAGATCTACTCACGTCCGACAGACTACTACAACTACTACTACTACTACTAGTACACTCTACAGGCATGTAGTGGATTGTGAGAGTAGATTAGTGGTCAGCGGGTGATGCAAGGTGGTGGCACACTCAGGGGCTTCTCGCCTGTTGCGGCTTTCTGTCAAGCGCCCGTCACTCTCTCTCTCTCACTCTCTCGCGGCAGGTCTCTCTCCCCCTTTGCTCTGTACTAGCACACTTCGTGACTTGTCTTGATGCGGAGGCGCTTTGTGTGGCCCAAAACAGGACAATGGCATTAGCAATAGATTCTCTGCATTGAATGTCCCCGCACTCCCAGCGCTTTTGTGGGCACGAGGAATTCCGAAAGCCATGGGACAGAGTCGCAGAGGGGCTGGCCAGTTTGCAGCCAGACAACAATGGATATAATCACACTTCACACTTCACATACACACACACACACACACACACACACACACACATACACATACACACACACACACACACACTCGAACTCCCTCTCTCTTTCTCGCGCGCACATGGTAGAACTAGAAGTTACGACAACGAGCTGAGCTGTTTATCTTTCTCAAAGACAAAGCCATCCGCGTGTGACCATCCGTACATAATAAATTAATAATTATGTACGGATGCGGCATAGCCTGCCATAGGGGCATAATTATTATGCCACTACACTTGCAAGCCCAATGCATGATAGTGCCATTTGTGGATAATCACTGGATACATGTATGCACAGCCACAGGTGCATATCATCTATTTTGTCCCAGGTCCGGTTGGATAGTTCCCGGAATGACCCCGCAGACCCAGTGGACCATGTACCATGTAGGTGGTGTACATGTACATGTAGATCCAGGGCTGCACTGAGCACGAGCGCTGATTTGGTTGATTGAAGAACACAATAATTGCGCATTGCACAAACTGAAGTTACTGTAGTCAGGTACTAGGTGCCCAACTAACTTACTTGCAGCTGCAGCACTGCAAACAGAAACACAAGAATGATCTCGCTCTGGCAAGTGGCATGCCTTCAAGTTCAACTAACTTGATGCTCCGGCCAGCCAGATTTGTTTTACAGTCCACCTAGTACCTACATTGTGCTTCGAATAAGAAGTGCTTGAACTAACTAACTTTGAGCTCTTTCCACTTTTTTCTTTCCATACTACTACATGTACATGTACCTTCTTCTGGTTCTCTTCTTGCCTCGTTGATCGAATTGAAGTGTTGAGTCTTCGCCCTCTCTCGTACGCGATGTAGGAGTACTGACCTCACACCCAGGTCCGAGATGACGGCAAACGATCCTAGCAGTGGCCAGCCGCGGCCGAAGCCATGATACTTGATAGGCTCCTAGTCCTAGCCTAGGCCGCTAGGACTAGTAGTAGTACTAGTAGTAGTAGGAGCCTATCAAGATCCTCCAGGGTTATCATGGTTATGTACGCGTGGAGGGGTTGAGTAGGCCATAGGCTGCAGGATGCCCTCTAGCCTAGGCCAGGATGAGCGACACAAACCATTGGCATTGTACTGCATAGTATAGATCTACATGACATTGTATTATGTGCGTGCACCGCTTGTGCTGTCTTGATACACACGCTGGGTGCTGGGTACGAGTACAGTCTAGCTACCGACCGTTCACAGCAATGATGTCGTCGAGGCGCTAGGCGTGTCGTATCAGGATGGCGGAGGAGCGTGCCTCGTGTCTTCATGAAGCTCAGGCCGGCGCCGTCGTTGGTAATCAACTACACTGGGACTTGCGTGTGTGGTGAACTGGTACATGGTGCCAGCGGTGGTATGATCGTAGTCTGTACAGTGTACATACTACAGTACATAGCATTGTATACGATGATTATGTACATGAACTACACGCAGAGATGCCAAGGCACACGATGGCCGTGTGACCACTTGACAAGCATAGCTACTGTACTTCGGTCGTGATCCTGACCATATGATAATATTATTAGTATCTCATGCTTGTTCAGTTTAGTTGTAGATACATGTAAAAGGTCTTCTTCTTCCGCTGAGCTGATTACACAATACACTGTATTCGGTGATGCTGTTTGCCTTTGCCCAACTAATATTACTTAGCATACAGTATGCGATTCTGTCCTCCAGTTACGTTACCTCCTCCACTGCTCCAGAGCTAGGCCTTTCCGGATTATGTGTTTGCATATTTTTGCATTTTGGGGGTCAAAATGCATTTTGTCCATTTTGACCCACTTTGGGCCAGGGAGTCGTAAAATACCGGTATTTTACGACTCCCTGCAAGCGATAGGTACTTCACGATCACCATGAATGATCACCATGGTGCCAAATGTCACGCGACTAGCTGTCGCCATTTTGTTACCATGGCAACGGTGGCATTTTTTGTGCTTTTTGGGTAAATTTTTGCATTTTCTTTAGAAAAAAATTTGATTTATAGGGGTTTTTCAAAACACTTTCCATTTCCATTTTAGACCAAGAAAAAACGCATAATCCGGAAAAGCCTATCCAGAGCTCAGCAGAAGAGTCCGAATGCTCGCTTCATACATGCCCCCCTCCCCCCTCCCCAACCCCTGCGCGTGCGTCAGAGATGGGTCGATCCCGAGCACTCACATAAACAGCGCATGGCTTGTTCTGACTGTTTATGTCACATGTCAGTGAGTTGTAGTTGCAGTCTCCACCGACTACACTCGGTCTACAGTACAGTGCCATAGATCTAGCGCGCTAGTGCATCACCATGATCACTGCATGCACGTCCCGTGGGGTTCACACTGCTTGGTGGGTCAGCTGTGAGACAAACCAGTGCTGTCAGTCACACACATACACTAACACAGGGTATGTCTAATATGGCCGTCAGGAGATTAGCTAGAGAGAGAGAGGCATGATGGTATGTCTGCAGATCTGCCCCATAAATGCATAATGGCCATATCGATGGAGCACATGGTCATATAACCAACTGAGCTATATGTACAGCTGCTTGCTAGGACAGGAGCCTGAGCCTGAGGAGGGCTAGAGCAGGGGCTGGGACCGGATACAGACTGAGCTGCTATCATGCTGACACTAGTTCAAGTCACGAGAGAGGACTCAGACTCAGAGTCAAACTCAGTTAGGAGGAGATCAGACTGGTCATGCAAGAGGCGAAAGATTCGATCGTGACTCGAACTATTACTAACTTACATGTACATGATTGCACTACATGTACATGCTGTAGAGTCTACCAAGACTTCGGCAAGAGATTGTAAATGTAAGCTCCCAGGGAGTGCAGTCTCCTATCAGCGAGGTCAGGACAGGAGGCATGATGGACTTGATGGTGTTGAGTCGGAGTTATGCACAATACAATATTTGCACAAGTACTACTAGTAGTACTAGTACTAGTATACCTACGACTAGTATAAGCCCTCACCATGGCGGCTACTACAATGTACAACTGCATGAGGCTGTACTGATACTCTTTCCGGGGAGCACAACAATAACAAGTAATTAGTTTGTGGACAGACTAGTCTTGCTGACACCCCCTCCCCCAAACACACACAGTCACTCAATGATGTTTCAGGCATCCGCTGTCAGCAAGCCCTACCTAGCTACCTACAGCACGCACTGAGTGAGGGTATCGGTTTAGTGTACATCATGTACTGTACTAGCTAGACTCGACTAACACTGGAAGACAAGGAACTCAGATCTTTCCGTTCAGACTCTACACAAAAAGACCAACCTCCACAACAAACAATGACGTGAAAGCACTACATGTAGCGATGTACTTTCTGACTGAAAATTCATGCAGGTGTCAGACGCTACATGAATGACTGTATCACTTACTTGCTCCCACCGCAGTGAACAGACGGTCTTCCCACTAAGTCTGTTATGTCTGTACACTGCACATGCATGGTGAACTCTGAAGGGTGAAACACGAAGTCAAGCACACAGCAGTAGCCTGAATAGGACCTTGTCCTTGTGCCAGGCCATCGCCATGCCTGGTATGGCCGATACTAGTAATAGTATGGGTGTGCTGGGTGCGAATCACCTCCATGCGTTTGAGGTCAGGGCCTGTGGCTATCAGTATGTGACGTAGCACACGACAATGCAATCTGATGCGACAGATAGATGGCCAGCACAGGGGGGTGAGGGCTGGTCCGGACGACGAGGCTAGGAGCTAGGCTGGAAAGGACTTGCACGTGCCACACTGTACTGACGGCTGACGCGTGCTGCCGAAGCTAGGCGATCTTTAGCAGGAGGATCTGTCCTCGAGATTGACTTCTCGTCCCTTTATATTCCGTTTCGCTAGTTCGGAGGGTGTGCAGCGGTTGTGGGCAAAGGTAGAGGAGGGTGAAAGTCTTGACCAAAAACTATTCTACTACTACTTCGCTTTCCTCCACCTCCTGTTCCCCGCCCTGCGCCACCCCGCACAACCACAGAGCAATTCTCCGCTTTGTAATAGATTTTGTCTAGTTTTCGTATAGGTTATTCCAATTCTCTAAACCTAGTCTGGTATCATTCTCTTAGACATCTTCACCATTTTTATCACCATCATCATCATCGCCGCCGTCATCTTTATCATCATCAACCAAAGAAAAGCAACTATAATCCTCCCAGAACATTCGTCCTCAAAAGGTGCTCCAAATCTACTCCTAAGATTATAATCTTTCCCGTCCGGCCGTGCAGCGATTTGGTATTTGGGCATTTTCGATGTTCCACATGGAGTGCTTGTCCACCCGGTCGCCGCAGCTCCTGTGCGAGTCGCTACTTCTGTGTGAGGAGTCGCTTCACGCGCTATACACGATCGGCGATCCTGTACTGCAGAGTGATCGCGTCCTCGAGCAAATGTTATCCCAGGAAGAACTCATCGCTATCAATCCGAATTACATGCGAACGACGCAGCTTGGCAAAGTGACGGAACATAAGCGCAAGGATCTCGTATCAGCCATGGCCGAGGTTAGTGTATTGTGAATGCTTTTTGATATACATACCATTGCTAGTTATGCACGATAGTCTTGTTATTCTCGTTGTACGGATCAAGTCATGATGGACACTATCCGCGCACCATTCTGCCTCGCTAAATACAGCTTTCTGTAGGCTTGTCACAATCAGTTTGGGTGCGTGTATTGTGAATGGCATGCCGGCCACTGTACACTTCGTTTAGGTATACAAGTGAAGTGCAGTGCCAGGCCCATGCACCGGGATAGTTTACTGTGTGTGGATGTTTGTAATCAATTTCGTGGTCGCAGACTTCGTTCTATTTTGATGACTTTAGATTTATTTCAATTGAAGTTCGTAGTTTGCCGTGGACTGTTTAGGATGTCCTCGTGCAGTTCTGTATCCTGGTATTGCTTCCAGACAGTGGACACCTTCTGTTGCGTGTCAGTAAAAATTTTGCGCGATGGTGTTGTTGATGGTCCTGTGACAGGATTCTGGCATGGCCGAGGCTGCGAATGTTGATTGCGTGCGCATTCAGATGTTGAGCGAACACAGAGCACTGTGACTCTCGGATGTTCTCCAGTAGGACTTAGATCATCAACGGACAGCTGTCCGGGGAGGAAAATGTTGCATAGATCCGCTGCTAGCTTCGTTGGCCAAGCATCGCCGCAGCTTTGTCAGAATTTGTCACGCTTGATGCCGCGGGTCACCAAAGTTATGCGCTTACACGCGATCTGCTCAAAGGGCGTCGGGTCCTTCACCTTATTTGTCACACTGGAGAAGTCATTCGGGACTGGTGCATCCTCTCTGGCCGTACCCCATGTTGATTCTGTATTCATCGTTAGCTGGAGACTTCATTGGGGGCATTATTGTATTATGGTTCGCCTCGCACATTCGTCAGGCTAGCCTCTTCAAGCACTAATAGTCCAATAGTGAAACATGAGAGAGAAAGTGGAGATAAAGTAAGTGCTTCGTACTTGTCGAATATTGAACAACGATGCAGAATCTGGGAGCGTGGCAAAATAATTGCTAAATTCGCGAGGAATGCACGAGTCTGACCCGGCGTGCCGAGCAACTTATCGCTTCGTGAGCATGTGATGGCTTTTCCTGCGGGCTGGCGCACTTGTGAGAGCACTTCGTTCGGATTGCTGCAGTCGGTGGGGCTGGGGCACACCATCTTGACTTGAGGTCTTCTTCCTTCCCAATGCCATGCACCAGTCAAGTGCGTAACTACTGGCAGTAGTACATGTACCGCATGCCGCATGCTCCAGTGTAAGAGATCCATTGACCTTCGCCCAGCCCATCAGCACACATACAAGTAGTGAAGTACACGCAGCTATGTACAAAATGTAACAAAAAATAGTCAACCAAACTGCGAGAAATACGTGCGAGTGCAGCAGGATTTGCTGCAGCAGGCTGTACAACTCCCTGACAGAGTATAGTAGAGAGACTGAAGCGGACGTCCGCAACTAAACGATCTTCTTTTGGGGTTGTCATTCTTGGAAGATACTGATAATGATTGAGATGATTACCCACGCCTTCCCGTCATTTCAGCCTCTTGGCAGTCTTGCCTTCGACGCTATGTAGTTGGGGAGTGAAACGCGTGTTTTCGTACCGTTTGGGCTTTGATTGGATCTGTTAGTTAGGTATCGTGGGTTTGCATCAAGGATTCGCTGACTGTACACCATGTCACGTCCCGGCACAGGTTTCTTGTGTGTGCCAGGACTCTCCTGGACACGTTCTCATGCTCAAGTTTCATTGACGCTGGTTGTGTGGCGCCTATGGACTTGGCCCTGGTGTAATTACAATCCCTGTGTTCTTGTAGCGTTCGCCATGTGTGCAAGGCTGTGCAAGCGAATAGAGCCGGGACGCGTGCACGAACACCTTTCGCCTTGTCTGCCCACGTAAGCTCTGTCTCGCCCAGGAACTAGCGTTACTTATCACCCTTTCAAGTCTTTGTACATGTATCACTGCCAGAAACATCACGAGAGAACATTTTCTATATCTTTGGATATTTTCGGAGGTCGGAAAAAATGGCTGGACCATGCGCGTGTATTTCGAACAGCAGACTTGTAAAATTTCGCACGTGGAATGTGTGGTCCCCGAATGCTCAGTCCTCCGGCGAAAGAATCGTGCCGTGTGTTGGACGGACTGTTTACTTGGTTTGCGTCGGCTGTCGTCATTGCATGCTCGTGTAGTCTACAGAGCCGCTGGAGATTATCTTGGAGAGCTGTTTGCTGTATTGCTGGGCCGCAGTGACGGATAGTGGAGGCAGAGGCGAACGGCTGTCACACCTCGGGCCGTGAACAGTCGGTTCCTACACGAACAGGGCATTCGCGTTGCTGAACACTTCAGTCTAAAAGTTACTTCAGCGCGTGGTTCCTCATGATTGGTGCTAAGGTCGTCCGAAATGTCAATGGCTAGGCCAGGGGAGATTCTCTGCGCTGCCTGCTGTTTGCATGAATGCTGACTGGAAATGTTCTACGTGTGCGCTCTGTCACTGTTCGCCAGTGGAGGTCACCTGATGCGGGTTGCAAGGTGAATGCTTCGTTGCAAAGAAAGATGTCAAATAGAAATGTGTGCATGTGAGCTGGTCCGAATTGACAATCTGGAGATTGTGAGATCGAGCCACAAAGATCAGATTTCTTCGCCAGGACCTCCCTGTTGTGGCTGCTGCCAAATTCCACTGTTAGTTGCTGAGCATGATCCAACCGCGAACGCATGCCGTCGGACAGGGGATGATGCCAGAAACGCTAAGATAGCATCATCTTGGCGCACGTAGATCGAATGGTCAGTGCGTGGCGGTGGTTCGTGGAAGGAAGGTATTCCACAGCACTGCTGCTTTGTTTTGGTAGATTTGGCTGGGAGGTGCGAACAATCAACATCCGTCTGGATTTCTGACCTGGGCCGTAGCGACGTCGAAGCGCCTTGCACGCTCTACTCTAGTGAGTGGATGCTGATTGTTGACCTGTCTGAGTTACAGAGTTCTACAATCAGACTAGAAGTCATGGCAGTGGCAGTGGCAATTTTGTGTTAGGTCCAGACGCCTTTTGCATTTGACATGCTGGGGCAGCTGGAACTGGGACTTCGGACTGGAACCTTCCAAGTCTGTGAGCGTGTCCCAGGACACCCGTGGGTGAACTTGGCGGTTGTGTTGCCCCTTCTGGTATTTTGTGGACCTATACAACTATTACATTTTTACTTACAAGGATAGGGAAATGGAAATCACTGGTCCATGGGGTTCCGCCATACATCAGACATGCATCTGGGGCCTGGAGACTTCCTTCTACTGAGTAACCGTTGCCTAAGTAAGGAACCCAGTTTCCTGTGCACATGTGCTTGTACACAGTACTGGCATTTTCCTGGACACAGCGGCTGGAGCATAAAGTGCACTGATGCAGAACACTACTACACACAGCAGTCTGGCACTGACTGGCCTTGTGGGACACACTGCCAGCTGAACACCATCCATTAGGCCTGGCCATGCTGATCCCCACGAACTATGCATCTAATCAACGACATCTCTAAAGCCAGGCATCCTGACCTGGCGAATAACAGACTGGTGTGGGATAATTTAGGCACACGTTAGTCAGTCAGGTGATGTAAAGGTGGACTGTTACTGTTTGTGTTAGTCCCCAATCATACCAGTGTGTATGTGTATGTGTTCAAATACAGACAGCATAGGCGTCCCTTGATTGTGACAGTATGTATGTGACACGGTGTATCCGCTGACGTAGTCCTTGTGCTTCGCTGACATCATGTGCAGGTGTACATGTACGTGGACGACGCGAAGTAAACAGGAATACTGTACCATGCAAACAGCCTGTGCCAATAGTGATAGTTATCATGCATGCCAGCACCGTATTGTAACAGCGAGTCACTGCGTGTGCGGTGGTAGGTGTGAAGTGGAAGAATGCGCACTGTGAAAAGGCCGAGGTCATTGAGATTGGTAAACATCTGACGCCAGTGTCTCTATAGCTTCCTGTCAGTCGACACTGATCGTGTGATCTGATGATGATGATGATGATGAGTCGTAATATTATAACAATCAATGCAGTGTAGATGAGACTTGGTGTAACCATGGCACCGAAGCCCATGTCCATGGACCGCTCACTTTTTCCTGAAGTAATTATTATGCAGCAGAGTACACCAGTGTTGATAAAAGCTACTTGTAGACAAAAAGCTTGTAATCATTGTCGCCCGCTCGAGCAGCATGTGTGTGCCGCATGGGTGATGTTTGTGTAAGATGCACTGCACTGTGTGTGTTTGCTACTCAGCCGAGGATATAGCATGAAGTTGCAGTGAAGTTGTACCTTCCCACTGTAACTGTTCTGTATGTACATGTGTGTAGTCTGTAAAATGGCGGTCAACATGCGCTGAACACCACACGTTACATCTAGCTACAAACAGTTCTGTCGCATCTGCGAGTAGTTGATTTTCGGCGTGTGTTGATCGCCAGTTAACAGTTAATATAGAGAGCTACATGTGGAGTCGGCAACCATCAACGTTATTGTATGTGTGTTATTGTGTACGTGTAAGTAGGCCAGGTCTGATTCCCTAAATGAAGTAAATGCACTGAGACCGTCCACAGTGGAAAGACAGCCCTTTGATGACATTAGGATATTTACTAGTGCATGTATTTGTAGTAGTGGTTCCCCACTGACCTCACTCTACTGTAAGTAAGTTGCTAGCCTCACTGTGGCCCGCTTACTGCGGTGTTGCTGTAGGTGTGCATCTATGTTCTAGCAAGCACAATGCTTGTGTAACTTGTTCAAAGTACATGTTATAATATCAGCCTGGTGTAGTGTCCAACAATAATGTAGTTCAAGTTTGGTGTAATCACTGTGCCAGTAAGTGCCCTGACATTTACTCCTGTCCTTTTGGACTTGATAACACCTTGAATAGGGGAAAGGCTGTTGGAACTTCTTCAAAACCAAGTGAGGCTCTAAGGGACTTGTTTAGCTGCATGGGCTGGGGTGAAGCCTAGCCTGCGGGGCGAGTAGAACATTGGGTATGGTGCGCAATGGCCGTACGTGCGCTGTCTCCAGACCAAATCAAGGTGGGCCCAGGATTGCGTGGGCTTTTTCTCCTGTCAAACCCCCTGCATGGATTCGTCCATGTTACAGGACTTAATGTTAAAGCTGCTCGGCTGACAGCACCACTCCTAAATCTGGACTTATCAGGCAAGGGGCTGCTAAGGAGATTAGAAGTTGCTATGCTGCCACTTTGTTGTTGGGCTCTCCATTCTCTCATGGCCACTAGAGGGCATTGATTAGAAGCCCTTGTTATTCTGTTGTTGGCCCCTTCAAACACCAATTTCCCTTAGTGGTGGTGGTGGTGGTGGTGGTGGTGGTGGTGGTTCTTGTCGCATACTGAGCTTATTGGTTTTGGTCTTGTGGGGGCATGCGGCGGCAGCATGCTGATCTCATTGCTATCCTTCACATTCACGATGTGTTCTGATATGCCCATGGCACCTGTGAAAGGAGCTCTGCATCCATGCAACCCCAGCTGCACGTCAATAACATTAGCCTCAGCCAGCCCGAGAAACAGGGACCATAGCTCTTGGACAGTGAGAGAAGGAGAGGTTGCTCTCTACTCTAAATTCAAGTTGTTTGTCCTCCAGGCGAAATGCCATGTCAATGGTAGCGACCACGTCCTTTTTCAAGCAGTCTGCTGGCCTAATCCCTTCTGCGCCATTGTAATCTGACTTCGTTTTGTCTGCACGCACCAACAACCATAATAATAATATTATTATCCAGTCCTGGGACTCACTGAAGCTGGACTGATATTACCAGTTGCTTAGCCAAGGGGGGAGGGGGGGGGGTCAAGTAGGGGGACGTATGACACTTTCCCGCAGGTACTCGTACACGTTCGCGTCACCACCTGTTACACAATTGTGTTTCGAAACACAACCAGCTTTAAAATAGGAATTTTCGCTTGTGCCAGGCCATCACCATGCCTTATTATACCAGTGTGGCATATACAGAGCTTAGTTTCAGTGCGCTCTCTCTCTCTCTCTCTTTCTCTCTCTCTCTCTCTCTCTCTCTCTCTCTCTCTCTCTCTCTCTCTCTCTCTCTCTCTCTCTGTGTGTTTTGATATAATTCTAAGAAGGCTTGTCACCAGACCTGCTGGTGATGTGTGGATGATAATAATAATCCGATTACTTAGTATTCTTTGTGACAGTGACAGTCTGCCTGAATCACTGTATCATGACAAGGAACAGGTTATCATGTTAGTGTACTGACACTGTTGGATTGAACTCTCAGCCTTCACCTCCCCCTCTAACTCCCTACAGTTTGAAAATATGTAGCAAGAGCTATGGGGCCATGTACATGTATGTACCATGCACTGCGCACGGGCAGACATGTGGTGCAGATGATGGATGAGTTGATGCGTCACAAGTTGCTTATAGTTATAGGCAGGCTGGGAGACCCAGGGTGCACGCAATCTATGTCCAGTGTTGACCGTCACCGCTTGTCATACAATACCCCCATGTCACAAACGGATTAATTGCTGCCATTCTGGTCGTTGTCTGGGAGACTCTGTAGCAGGTGAATGGGCCATACTCCAGCTCCGAAAACGTGTTGCATTTTCGGCTTGTTTTTCTTGCGACTCTAGTGGGGGTTTGCAGGTGGTGAGATAACCCTTACTGTAATGTAACTGCCTATTGCCATCTTTTTGTCAAACTCAAGGAATCTATTCAACGCAGAGGTCCAGGATAGAATTACCAGAAATGCAGGCTGCTTAATAGGCAATAATTATCACTTGTCAAATCTTTCTGGCGCGTCAGCAACGAATGACGCCCTGGAGAATGTGACTGGAGCGAGTGGCACGCTCTCACCTACTGGCCATGGCATGAGAACTCAAATCAGGCGTGATGTCAAGTCAATTTTTGGGTTCAGAATTGAAGTGGTTGAATAAGCATGCAAGATGGCCAGGGTCTAGAGGGCGCGTGTTCACCACATAATTATACCGTATCGTACGACAGCAGTGCATACTAATGTCAGTTTCTCTGGTCGGTGTGCACATTAGCAGCATAGTACAAATAGCCAGGTGCACGTACTTGTAGTTAGGGGTATGATCACTGTGTGACAGTGTCGATTAGTCTTGTCTGCTTTTCAAGTAACGCTGGAGTCCTCCCCTGCAGTGACATAGGAATTCACTGTCACCTGTACACAGTGCTGGTATCGTAATTAAGTTTCCCCTGTCAGAACGGTGTGTGACACATATTAAATTTTATTATTGTGTATACGTTGGTGTACCTGCAATTCAGCTGCCACTTGCTGTAGTAGTAGTAGTAGTGCCGGTGCCATAGTGGGGTACATCAGCGAGTACTACTAGTACAGTCAGACCTCGCTTATCCGGTCCTCACTTATCCGGATCCCTCGCCATCCGGAAGAAAATCGTTGCCTACCGGTTTACAGCATATGTTATGCATACACACAGTGTGCATGTTCAATTATCCGGTTGCCTCGCCTATCCGGATATTTCTGTGGAAAACGGATGTGTGCTGTTTAGCGAGGTCTGGCTGTAGTAGTTAGAGCCATGTGACTGTACCTTCAATCCTGTTCATTCTTATCTACTCTGCTAAGTTGCAATCATCCCCCTGGGCCTGTTGATTCCGAACTACATTGTATTCTGTTTACTGCGTGCATTCTTCTCGCCACTCAGGTATGCGAACAGCACTCGGTCTCACTGCACATTCTACCGATGGCAGTAAACTACCTAGACCGCGTCCTCTCCTGCTCACGAGTACAGCAAGACGAGCTAGAACTCATGGCCATGGCGTGTCTTTTCATCGCGGCTAAGCTGAACAACGCAGACTCCATGGCAGTGGAGAAGCTTAGCCAGCATTTCTTCTTCACCTCCAGGCAACTGTTGGTGAGTTAAAAGTCCTGTTGTAATTATTTGCTGGACTGAGTATTCGATGTGCCCAGTGCTATGACAATGTGATGTGAGGGCAGTGGGTCTGCCTGTCTCGCCATGCCATGTCTCACACAATAATAATAATTATTATTATTATGCTCTGTTGTCTGTGTAATCAGCTGATAATGCCATAAGTGAGGGGTGTAGCAGGATGCACACCCTTCCCTCCACCGGCCGGGGGTGTCCCATCAATTATCACCGGGGCAAGTGCTTACCAACTGTTTGCCCTGGACACAATTGGTTATCCAATACAGTCATGGACATGCACATGTACTACCCCCCCCCCCCCCCCCATTCCCCCTCCCAGAGCCAGTTTTGGTCACAGTGTGAAGGGCATTGGCTTGAAGTGACACTCCGGCAGGCACACATACCCCAGTCAACAATTTTACGAAGCCAAATGGCCTCTGGAAAACAAAAAGGTGACCCTGGAACTAGAAGCCAACACTAAGCCACCACATTACCCGACTCCACCCATCATCCTCATTCAATAAGTCGAAGTCGGACATGAGCCATCGGCGCACAGCTCAAACGTGCCTGATCTTCATGACCATTATTTTCATGAAACCTTCCTGCGCATCAGAGAAAGAAATTGCACAGAGTCTGGAAACAGTGGTACAAGTAGATAGAAAGTTCACCCCTAGAATACGTACCCTGGCCTGGCTCTTTACACTCACCTACAAGTACTAGAGTTGAGGCTATCTCTAGTACTACAGCCAGGTACTTGCTTCAGTGGTGTGAGCTGATCCTGATGTTTACTGAGCTAGTTGGAGAAGTAGGTGCTGTAAACGTAAGTGGGTCATTGTAAAAGCCCCCTGTCAAACACACCAGTGGTTGCGTTCAGGACGCAAATCCTCTTACCTCGGAGATCAGTGGCAGAAGCCAGGACAATAGTGGCAGACAGCTTCGCATTGTTTGTTACGGGAACAGAGGCAGCGGTCCTTAGGCGGCCAAGGGGAATAATGGGATCACCATCATCTCAGTACCCTGTTGGGATAAGCGGTACAACACCCGGCAAGTGTCTCCCACAGCAGGGCCTAGTGCAAGTTCGAATTTGGCGCTACTGCTGTTGCCTGGCCACTCGAGATAAACTGACAATGTGACATTTATTGTGCACCGATCCACCCACCACACGCTCAGAGTGGCATAAGCTACATGATATGGCAGCTTTTCTCGGTGTGACCCCTGGTGCGGAGATAATGGCATGGAACTGAGGAGTGCTGCATTTGAGCAAGGAGTCAAGGAGTCGGCATGCGTGCTCCCATCACATAATTGACCAGAGGCGTAGGTGGACCAAGAGGGAGCTCTATTCCACTGGTACATGGTGCCGGTGGATCGCCACCAGAATGTGCTTATAGCGCTAGTCAGCATGGCCTCTGGTGGCTGACCAGCAAAAGGTGGCAATCCTATTAGTGGAATCTAACTGGCTGGGTGATAATTGTGACTCAAGCAGGTCACTGTTCTACTGGTTTTTCAAGTTTTCTCTCGCTGGCACATACCCCTGGGCTGGGGACAGTAGTGCAAATGATGTACACACTGCATAATTGCTGCCCGTCAGCAGCCTTCCCAGGCATTGAAACAAGGACAGGTGTGAAGCTGTAACCATGCCATTTGTCTGGGCTATCATGCACACAGGTTTATGAGCTGCTAGGCAGCTAGGCTAGACCAAGCATGCTGTCTAGGCATTGTTCAAAGTAGCGCATTGCAAGACAACCCTGCACCAAAACGGCAAACGGTCCGAAACCGACACCAGCATTGATAAACACAGTGTGCATCGGGAACAAAAAAGAGGCTGATAAGCTTAGCGATAATGTTACCCGATAATAATGGCTTATTGTAGACCTCCCACTGCTTTCGCAGTGCACACTACCTCATATCAGGTATCAGGCCTGCGTGTACACACACTTCACACGGAGCGTCAAACGCCCACCGCAAAATGCACTTTGCTGACAGTCTTGTCAACTCAGGCAAAGAAAAAATGCGGGTATCATTTTTGCAACTTGTTCCGAAATCTGGTCAGTTTGCTAAGGATCTGTGCATTTCCTATATTTTTATTTTTCTCTTTTTTCTGGCCTTTGATCTACAGGACATGGAATTGTTGGTACTGAGCAAGCTAAAATGGGATGTTTACTGTATAACACCGTTCGACTACGTTGACCTGCTGCTGCCGCGGCTAACCATGGGCGCACACGACCAGAAGAGATTCTACGCACTGGTGCAGTCGCTCATCGAAGTCTGCTGTTTAGGTGAGCGTGCTCAGCCTGTGGCGTGTCTCCTTCCCTTCACAAACCGCAACGGAATGAATGGATACAAGTTATGATGATAACAATAGACAACCTTGCCTGATGGTCGATAACGTTTTGAAAACAAGCCATGAAAATGTCTTCACAAGTCAAGCTCAGGTTCTTGGTGATAATACCGTAGTGGACTCTGTCCATGGCAGATGATATTAGGGTCTAAGGCGTGTGTGAGTTTTGGTTAGACAACTATGTAATGTATGTATGGGCAGAGAGAATGTGCCCCGGGGGCAATGTCACAGGACCAAAACTGTTGCAGGCTGCCTGCACACAACTCTCACATGTACAGCAAGGACCCACGGTGTAATGATTTACTAACAAGCTACCACCACCACCACCACTGGCCGCTCTGGCCTGCAGTGCAGTTGCAACATGCAATGATGTTACATTAGCCTGTACTTGCAAGGGTGCTAGTGATACAAGTCATTATAACCCCCTCCCCCCCCCTGGGTCTAGTTCCAATAATGTTTTGGAGTGTTTTCAACCTCCTGTGATGTCACGGCTGACATGTGCCCCTTATACGTCCTAGGTGATAATTGGCATGACAGCATAGGTAGGAGGCGTGCACCAACTTTTCAAAACTGATCCATGGGGTTAATTAGCTGAACATAGCACACGCTACGTGCGTGCCTGCTTGATGGCAAGACTCATCTAACGGCTGGATGAGGCCATGCGGAATGTTCCAATATTCCAACACACACACACACACACACAACACACACACACACACACACACACACACACACACACACACACACACACACACACACACACACACACACACACACACACACACACACACACACACACACACACATCCATGTCGCGGCGTGCTTACAGTCCACATAAATGAGCGAGGAGCGTCTGCCCTGAATCAATTTCCATCTGTCACCAGCATATGGTGCCATGTGTTATCACCAGACATCTGACATCAAAAGGACCCATGAGAACAGGGTTATCACCTGACTGTATTCCTGCCCTGCTTGGGATAAAGATATGATTTGATTGACTCTTGATCTGATTTCCAGCTGAGAAAATCACCTGACAACTCTCTGGAGAGACGATGCAATTATGCACGCAAACACTTATCAGATTTTTTCTCGACAAAAGAGCATATAAGCCACTAGTGAATGGTGTCTGCACTGTGTCCCTGTAGCAACATTAGGAGCTGGAGCAGGCATGACTCCGCCGGCCTTAGGTTTGACCCTTGCCCAAGTACTCGTACCCAGCCTAACGAATATCGTGTGTTGTTTGTTTCCTCTTTGCCCTCTCCGTGTTGTCACCTATGCAGAGTACCATTTCGTAGTATATCCACCGTCACTCATTGCTTCTGGTTGCATGGTCTCAGCATTGGCCATGCTAGGCATCAAAAATACAGCTGTGGTGGAGAAGAAGTCCAGCGGTTTGCTGGAACTGCTGGCGTCCACATTGAATGTAGAAAAGGTGAGAGCTTTGCAGGGCTATGATGAAATTAGAGGAAGACAAGACGATTCGATCGATTCTGGAATAGTTTTGAGTAGGCTAGTTTTTAGTGTACCTTAGCAATACCAAGCCCCTTCCCCCCCCCCCCCCCCACACACACAAACCGTGTGGAATGCAGAGAAGCATGCATCCTGTGTGGTGTTGACGTGGTCGCTTACCTGTCTCGCTGTTGCTAAATTCTGGGCATTCATGTCATCCACAGTGCGCGTAGATTAAATAAATCGTTGATGCCATGTGCTAAGTCGTGCCATCTGTTCTCATGTTTGTCACCTTCAGGAATTTATCACCGCCTGTCACGAGCAGATCAGCGATTACCACAGCATCAGCAGCTGCCCGGAGTCACCTTGAAGCGTTGCAAATGAAAAGCAACGCCGATCTTCCAAGTTATGATGCTCCAAGCCAAGTCGCCAAGCGGGGTACTCTTGTGCTCAGCCTGGCCAGCCAATGTGAACTTGCTGCAGAAGACGCGTGCAGCCATGTAGAACACACCATACTGGCTAGCTTCACACAGGCTCAAGTTGCTTGGCGGGCAGCAGTCAGCAAGTCCGACTTGCCCGCCTGCATCTCTCCGATTTGTCCCCCACACAACTTTGTCTTGTTTTGCCCTATATACCCCTATTTAACCCCCTACCCCCCCCCCGGCCCCCATCAAAATAATAAAATAAAAAACTTCAAAAAGAAATATTCTATGACAAAAGACACTCAGCTATTTGAAGCTCATCTGTATATACATTGAGCAGCCAGGTACATTCCGTCAGTGTGACACAGAATCCCGCAGCCTATTACCAGATCCACACCGGTCCTACGCACAGGATCGACTAGTCGCGCTAGCAAACTTTCCTCACGATTGCTCCGTTCTCGTCTATATTGCACCAGCAGCAGCAGCTGCAGCAGCTGCTGCTGCTGGTCATCAGCACATCTCGGTTTTCTTTAGCTTTTACTTTATTTCTGTTTTATAGTCGTCTACTTGTAATAGGTACTGTCTCAGCTGCACATTGTATGGCTGCGAGTGTAGAGTTTAGCTTTCGTCAAGACATCGGTTCATTCTTCTTTTCATTAATTTTCTCAGTGGCGGTGGTGATAATTTCAAAAGCAATGATGGTTATAAAAAATTAAAATGGTGATACTACAAATATACACATCTGACCGATGCCTATTGTACGTGGCGCTGCGCCGTGATAAAGTGGCATGGCCGCCTGCAGTGCTTCGGCAGCACGCCTGCGACACCCAGGCCGGGCGGGTTGAACCTGGTGGCATGCATGGTATGGTAGCGTACACTTATCCGCTGGCGTGGTGTAGAGAGAGTAGTCTACACAGGCAACACTAGCTCTATCATGCAACCCGTACTGCGCGCAGCAGACACGTAACCCGTCAAGGGCACAGAGGGCATGCCTCCCCCCGAAAAAAACAAAAATCGTTGACCTTTGTTCAGAACGACGTTACGTGTATGTTTGGGCATAGCCCTGGGCCTAGGTATTGGATGTTGAACTATGCCTGCTGTGAAGCCGGAATACCGGTAGGGTACCGGGTGCCAATGTGCAAAGTTCACTTGTTTTGAAGCCATTTTGTTCGTTCATGCAATATTTACAGTACGACCGATGTACGATATTTTGTGGAAACCAGCTCTCATGGTCACACAAGTACATGACTTGTATATAAATACTGCACCTCTACAGTCAGACCTCGCTTAACCGCATACATCTGTTTTCCACAAAAATATCCCGATAGGCGAGGGAACCGGATAACCGAACACCGGTTATGTTGGATGCACTATGCGTACTGTAAATCTGTAATCAGCTATGTGCTTCCGGATGGCGAGGGATCCGGATAAGAGAGGACCGGATAAGCGAGGTCTGATTGTACCAGCTACTACTTCAAAGAAGTACTTCTACCGACTTCTTCCAGCCTCAGACCAGGTAGAACCAGAAAGAGAAAGTAGAATCTACCGTTGCGGGTGGAAGAAACAAACACATCAACCGAAAGAAGCTCATGTAGCTAGTTTCTACCGACACCTTTAAATCACCCCCCCCCCCCCCATATTATCACTTTCGCCAGCAATGGATCCCTTGATATAGGGTTAATCTCACAACAGAGCGTGCACGCGCATGCAGTACCGAAAGTCCAAGCAAAAAAGAGAAAAGAATGGTGTACACATTGATTTCCAAGAGGGGAAGGAAAGTCGTTGAGTTGTAGTAAGACCGGTATGTCCAATTGTCTTGCTAGTTTGGTCTTCATTAGGCACCGGTGGATTATGCCGGCATAATCCGCCGGTGCCTAGTCTTCATCCAGTAACTTCCGGCATTCTTTGTTGCCGTGGAACTTAGCTCGCATTCTCACATAATTTCAGTACATACATGTACATGTATGTGTATGCAATTGTTAGATTGGCAGCATGAAACAAGGAGGAGGACACTGCGTTCGAAAACAGTGACCTTACTACAACCTTCCGCGGCTGGCAGAGCCCCGGTCCCAAGGATGGTCACTGTTTTCGAACACAGTGTCCTCCTCCTTGTTTCATGCTGTCAATCTAACAATTGCGTGAACTACAACAAGGTTTATCTAAATACTGGTTTACCAGTTTTGGATTATATCATATGTATGTGTATGTGTATGTGTATGTGTATGTGTATGTGTATGTGTATGTGTATGTGTATGTGTATGTACCATAAAGGTTTCACTTGCAGTGTAAAGTTATAATGCATGATGTATTGTATCATTGTGTATGATAATACTGAGTTGTAAAAGAACAAATATGCGTATGATAGCTCACACGACTAAGGAACTCTGAACGCTGTAGGTCAAATCATACCGGAAATCAGTGTTGATATGCTCAATCTGCGGACAGAACTGTTTCGTCTTGTTGATATGCTCATTTGCTGCTGATTCTATACGTCTCCAGACTCTCCACACAAAGCCCACCACTGCTCGTAAGACAGTGCTTTCGATGAGATGTGATCCTTGTCAGGGTTTGGGAGCGTTGAATGCAGAGTGCCTCACTATCCCCCCCCCCCCCCCCATCTCTCTCTCTCTCTCTCAGTGGGGCAGTCCTGCATCTGACCGAGAGTTAGTTATACTTCAGTATTCACATTCATTACTCAGGACCGCCGGAAGCAGTTCTTGATTGGTCCGTCCGGTAGTTTCAGTACTTTGTGTATGGAAATGGCGCGTACACAGTACACATGTAGTGAACATGACTATTGTGTTGATGGTTAAAATGTTGGTCCGGTGATAACCTGACCAACCGGACCGGTTCCGGCGGCCCTGTCACTCTGAGCTCTGCTGATGAGGCCTAACAAAGTCGAAACAACTATAATTATTACAATTTTTGAGTTTTTGTCACAGTTTTTTTGGGCAATCCACCATGGAATGAATAATAAGAATAGGATTTCGGCCAGGTTTTGCCCCCAAAGCACTGAATTGGGGAAAACCCATGAAAATCCAGGCCGTTCACTCCACTTGCATTACAGTACATTGCGTGGTTCGAACCCCAATTGAGGTACCTTTTTTGGACCCTTTATCAAATCTCGTGGCACTGCACCATGTACATGTACGACAAAATCATGAAAAATCACCAAAATACGGGGGCTCACCAGAGCCAGCGTTCTTCTTTTTCTGAATGGACTGTAGCGACTGCTTCCCCCCCCCCCCCTCTACCCTACTATGTTTTACCTGGCTAGATAGAACTCTGTGAAAGTAAATGCCCCCCCCCCCCCCCCCAATCGGGCTTGCACATCTCTGCTATCGAAATGCACGGGAGATTCGGCTCATATTCTAAGTGTGCAAGATACGTGTTTTGTAAATCTGGACTTGGCATCGAAAACGGAATCTATGCACACATGGAAATAGAGTGCTTGAGCTGTTCTCCAGTGCTCCATGACAGACGTGGTCGAGTGGCAAGTAGGCTCTCACATTGTCTGCGTTCTCTACTCTTCCAGTGACTTCCAGTCATGTTTCGGTCTGTTATTTCCTTTCTAGCCATGCTACAGGCCAGAGCACGTGTGACCTGTAATGAGTGGAGAACTGAGGTGGCATAGCGGTCGACTTTCACTTCTCGTGCAGGTGGAAGCGTGCAGGTGAGTCGATTACAAGCCCCGGTCTGACTGATCCAGTGGTGAGACCATCACGTCTGCTACAGTGGAACACGGATAGGACGCACCCCCACCAGCCAGGAATGGGAGAGTGTACTTTGACCATAGTTCAACCGGGGCTCGTGATAGACTGACGAAAACCTGACACAATAATTTCAAGATCAAACCTCTTTGGAGGAGAAAACAGAATAGGTTCAGGTTTCTCTGTTCTAAGGCTGTGTTTACATGAGAAATTTCAACCCGGGTCGAGTTCAGCCCGGGTTGAAAGTCTGTACAATAGACAAAAGAGGTGAACGTTTACATGAAGACAGTTGATCCGGGTCAAATACTGATATGCCGCCAAAAGTCCACTTCTAGAATCCTGTATGATCACGTGAATCCGTTCGCGCGAAATTTGCATGTGCAGTGCTGTTCAAACCTGGCGCGAGATACGCACAGAAGTACGTTTGTACGATTTTCTTGACCCGGGTTGATTTCAACCCTCCCCTTGGGGAGAGGGTTGATATCAACCCGGGGCGAAATGTCAACCCGGGTCAAGCGCAATGCGTCATGTAAACGCGCCATTCATTTTGTACACATGGCGGGTTGAAATCTGACCCGGGTTGAACTCAACCCGGATTGAAACGCCTCATGTAAACACAGCCTAAGTTATTCTCAGGCATGCATAGGCCCCAGGAGCTGATGTTGTGAAATGCACTAAATCGGCACTTTGGGGGCCTAGGAAAATTGCGTCAGGTCTTCGTGTTTTCAAGCTGCCGCAAGTACAGTAAAATGGACAAGCAACCTCCGTACGATTATCATCAAGTTCAGGATCACAGGAGGAAGCAGCTATCAATTGGTCCGGTCGTACCAAAGTCTTTCATACTTTGTGTGTGATATGGCAGAGATGTACATGTACAGTCCATTTCAAAACTATAGACGCGTAGGGTTTTTGAAATATTTCAAATTTGGCTGGAGCTTTTTGAGAATAGTTTTCGGAATATTGCTCAGGTCCGCTCCACAATTACTCTCATATAGTTTCTAAACGATTGGATAACAGACGCCCAATTTGGAAAAAATTATGCACAAAGTGATCACAGATTTTATGTGGTATAGATGCTGGCATAACGGTTTTTGCCTAGGTACGCGTCTATAGTTTTGAAATGGACTGTAATTACGCCCTCCTCACCAGTAAACATGCGTTCGTTGCCACAAAGTTGGTCCGGTGATAACCTGACCAACCGCCGGACCGGTTCCGGCGGGCCTGAATGTCTGGGGTCTACGAGAGCAACTTGGAACAGAGAAAACAGTACTTCTCCTGTAAATTTATCTATTCTTTAGTCGAGTACTAGTATTGGGAGTCCTGAGCATTTCGCCGGAGACTGAACTAACACTTGATAAACATCAGGGAGTCGTAAAATACCCCCCCCCCCCCCGGGTGGTATTTTACGACTCCCTGATAAACATGTACATTGTATCAAGAGTACATAACCCCCAAGAGTGTGCAACTGCCTGCACAACCTCTATACTATGCTGTGCTGCGACGGCAGAACTTCACATCACGTGACATGGTTCAAAAGGTTATGCTGGCAAACAGTGCAAAGTGACCACAAGAGAGTTGTACCCAAAGCTGGGCTGCGTACAACCCTGTATCTATCATGCACAGAGTGCAAATAATGTGTACGGGTTCATCACGTGATGTGAAGTTCTGCCGTAGCAGACCCCATAGCTGGAGTTGCACACTCTTGGGGGTTATGTACTCTTGATTGTACAGTTGTGGCAAGTGAAATCCGACACTTGCCATAGGGGACAGCGCCTCAAATGGACATCAATGATGTAATGCACTGCACCTAATTTGTACTATAGAGCCGTATGCATCCCAAACAGGTCGAAAGGTCACAGCGTTGATACACACAGTTCACAGACATGGTACACATAAGGATCCAATTCCCATTCATTTTTGCTAGCACCTTTTGAACCTTGACTGTGATGAGTACGAATTCTGTCATCAGACAGATAAAGTTGTATGCAACACATGTACTGTACGTATGCAGGGCTGCAGAGGCTGCAGGATGCACGGTGCAGTCCCTTATGCCAAGTGTCGGATTTCACTTGCCACAACTGTACATGTACAGTTGTGGCAAGTGAAATCCGACACTTGCCATAGGGGACAGCGCCTCAAATGGACATCAATGATGTAATGCACTGCACCTAATTTGTACTATAGAGCCGTGTGCATCCCAAACAGGTCGAAAGGTCACAGCTTAGATACACACAGTTCACAAACATGGTACACATAAGGAGTATTGGTATCCAATTCCCATTCATTTTTGCCAGCAGCTTTTGAACCTTGACTGTGATGAGTACGAATTCTGTCATTAGACAGATAATGTTGTATGCAACACATGTACTGTACGTATGCAGGGCTGCAGAGGCTGCAGGATGCACGGTGCAGTCCCTTATGCCAAGTGTCGGATTTCACTTGCCACAACTGTACATGTAGTAGAAGGTGCCGTGGTTTTGATTTATTTTTTCGAGAAAGAAAACCCCCAACAGCACCGATTGAAAAAAAGCGATTTTGTGTAATTTTCACTACATTCATATCTATCTTTCTTACCCGGGCAGTCCGGGACTGGGCGCTGCCCATAACTTGGAAAGTCCCGTAACTCTCAAGTCTGAATCATGTACATGTATGTGTTGATATCAAAAAGTAGTATGTGACATCACTATTTCCACAAAAATTGGCAAGACAGTAGTAAATTACCGTAAAGTAGCGCCAGAGCGCCCCACCATCTCATCCTTTCGTGGTCGTAGCGTGGAGGTGGTCTGCTGTCTGCAGGTCATACGACATGAACCTTGTACACATATTGCACGGTTTGCAGTCAATCCATACCTTCGAGTGGACACAAGCTCCACACAAAACCTGCCAAGCGTGACCTTAGTACACTAAGACTCTCACATCGTACACACTTCGTTGCACTCTGCCGGACGATTTTCCTTTCTCTGGCTGTAAAATCAAGGTGGGGCGCTCCCGCGAGACGGGGCGCTCTGGCGGTACTTTACAGTACTAGTAATATTTCCAGTAAAATTTCTCCCACATGGTGTCCGGTAGACCATGTAGACGCGAGGTGTCCATAACTACATGTACATGACTATACATGTGCATGTACTTGGAGGTTCGGATAAGGGACTAGGAGTAGGCCCAGACAGATCCTGCCGGCAATTCTTTCGGCAAAATATCGAAGAATTGAAAGAGCGGAAATTGCTGACAAAATCGGAGCAAAGTATCGATATGTTGAGTAAAATCGATGCCTGATACTTGGATTTCCTTGTTTCTTGCCCATTAAAAGCAGGACACACTACCCAGGACGAGATCATGCCACGGAAATATCACTGGGATTCACTGTGGATCGACATGATTTTGGAAGAACTCAGGGACACGTGCGTGGAAACCCGCGTTGAGAAACCGATCCTGCGATTTTTATGAAACGTTGTACGGGATTGTACGGGAAGTGGATAAAATACACGTTTTTCTTGAGCAAAATGGAGCAAATTATCGAGTTTCTTGTGCCAGGCTCGGCAAAAT